CAAGCACTAGCTAATAAACCTTGCTGATTGAACCTGCACGGTCTCCAGGAGTTCCATGGGCTAGGCCTGACAGGTTGCGACCAATTCGGGTTGCAACCAGAGTCACGGAACGAATTAAGTTCGTAAACCGAGGTTCCACTGTAAACTGTGTTATGTTCCTGAATATTCTAAGCAGGGGTACATCTACTATTGTAATGCTATCATAGCTACTGCAGTTATTCTATCAACGACAGCACTTTCAAAAGTTCCTTTTTTTTTACTCTGATAAAGGAAAACACCAATTAATATCTGAGTGAAATGGTATTTGGACTGGACAGTTTGATACGGAATATAACTGATACATAAACTAAAACATTAAATGAGCATTACAGCTGAAACACACATAACTAGATCATTCCATGAGATTTTTAAAATATATTTGAAAAACTGAGTCTGTTATCAAAATCTCTGATATGCAACTCCGCAAATGGGGCCATTTTCCTTCAAGAAGCATTTGTTTGACCCATGCTGGAAAACTGATTACACCAAGAAATACAACCATTGTTCTGTCCTATGTCTGCTTGTTTTAGGTAACGTAAGATAAGTTGCTCTTTATATTACTATAAATGAAGTCCAGTGCAATTTAACAAGAGGCATAGGAGAAAGCAAAGAACTAGTACTATCCAACTGATTGACTGAAGCATGCCCTTATGCTCAAAGCAGCATGCTTTATCTCTGGCAAGAGTTTAACAGTGCACTGACATTTGAAGACCTATTGCCTGCACAAGAAGGTGGCACTGAGATTCCCTTTTCTGAAGTCCATCACCTGGTTAATTGGGATGCCAGGCTATATTTGAGAAAGGAGCACATTTTAATTTTTATAGCTATAGTTCATCACCATAATCAGAAATGGAAACTAAATTCTACCTTAAAGTATACTTATTTTATTTTTAAAAAAATGGTTAAGATGAAATTAATTAAAATTAATTCATTTTTAGGAGCTTTACTTGAAAAAAACAGCTGTATTAAAAACAAAACTGTTTTTGTTTCAAAACTATCCAATCCCATTACCTACTAAGTAGTTCTGCATGTGACAAATATTTTTTCTCCATTTACCTGTAGCTATGAAAAAGCTAGGATTAACCATATAATAATGAAAAATCTAGGATTAGGTATGTAAATAATTTCATCTGGAATTCAAATATGCATGTATATAATGGGTAAACATTAAAATAGTATTGAACTACCTATTAGAGTAATAGCATTCCTACCTAGTATCTACTACCTCAAATTTACCTTTAAAACATTTCTAGTTCTTAATCTTTCCACTCTTCTTTCAATTCTCAATGATCTTTTTTAAAACATGAACTTGTTCAATATAAGGAATGGGACAATAAAATTATTTTATTAAACATAAAACTTAAATTTCTAGTTAAAAGGCTGTTACTGCTAAATATATTTTGCAAAAGAATCAATCACAAGATGCAACTTTTCAAATGAGTCATATTCAATCATTCCATTGATTTTTTAAAAATCTCATTTATTAAGACCATTAACAGCATCTGAAAAAATGGTATACATCTATTTCCTTTAAGAGCAAGAAAACCTTGGTAATGTTATATATAAAACTGTTATATTAAATAAACTTACCCGTTTCCTTAGAAGCCTTTAAAAACACTGGGTGAATGAGTTGGGATTTGAAGTCAGTGAACCTCATCTGCCTTTTTACGGCACTGACTTTCTTCTACTGCAGCAAATCCTCAAGAACTAATGATGAAGATAATCTACAGGTACCACTACACTTTGCTAAAGTTAAACTAGATAAATTGTAACCTTTTTGGATTGTCTTGGTGTGGTTGTAAGCAAATTTGTATGTATTAACAACTTTGGTGGCTGGCCTTGTTATTTGTTGGGTCAAAAGTGCTGGAAAAATCACTCAATAATCTTTTAAATGAATCCTGATATCCTAATGTATATATATTGATGCAACATTTTTCTCCGTACCACTGCTGTTCAAAAGTAAGGGAAATTGCTCTCACTGAAAAATCATTATAACAACCAACATCTTTAAGGAACCCTACAATGAAGGATAAATTTGTTCAAATTTCATCATCATCATTATTATTTGATTTGTTTTCTAAGTCCATCCATCAAAAGTGCCTCAAAGTGGTATACAAATGGGTTAAAAATACATCATAATAACAAGGAAAGTTATTAACTAAGGTTATCGTTATTAGGCATATTTCCTTAATAGATTTTCTTCCTCTGAACAAGCTTTATTTTGGACAGAAATTTTCAGTTTAAAATGCTTGCATTTCTCTTGAAAAAAGTACTTTGATTTCATTTTGCACTAAAAATCCACTATGAAATGGGGCTCTTCTTTGAAGCCCTGGATCAGAGTAGTCACCTTGCTTTGACCCAGAGGCTAAAAGGGGCTTCTGGGGATGCACTGCACATACACAGAGCAACTTCTACCTGGTAACAGCTGCTGGCTGAATCTGATCAGCCCCTTTCAATGTGTATTGCCTTAATTCTCTGAGTTGAAGTGCTGTCTCATAGCTGGATTACTGTGATGGTCCAAACAGATAGGACACATGAGATAGAACAATACTGCTTTGCATTTGCCTAATTTATATCCCAGGTTTTATTCTCCTTTTTATTTTTTAATTGTTTTTGGTTTTGTACCTTTTTGATTTTTTATTAACACTTTTTTTTCTTTTTAGTTTTCGTCTCCATGTTTTGTTTCTTCAATCATTTTCTAAAGAAGTCTTACCTTCTATTGCTGATAGGAGAACTCGAGAATGGTCATAAGCAATAACATTTGCATATCTGTTCTTTGGTTTATTTACTTCCAGGTTAGAGTGTTCCCATGTAAATTGCTGACCTGGGTCGATTGACTGGAAACAAAGAAATGGGGAGAAAGGAAATTTTATTAACAGATTTTTTTTTAAAGGAAGTTTCATAACAGATTTGCTTGTATTGTATAGCTTAAAACAGTATCACATGAGTCTAATTCCACAATAATTTGTCATACTGATACTTACTGACATTCACATTTAGTCACTAGTCTTGCATAGATTTCTGTTGTTTTCATAAGAAATCAGACAAACAGCACAAGAGATGCATTATTTCTTTTAGAAATTTGGAGGGTGTGTGTGAGTTATACAGGAGAAATGAGAAAAATAAGATGTGCAGAGAATAATGAAAGGTTCGTGCTGATTTAACCATAACAACATTTCACCTCAGATTCCATATAACATTAAAAAAAAACACACACACAGAAAGCCGAGATAGTTCTTGCTTGTTCAAATATGCAAGAAAGAACACATGTTTATACTACCAGAAGTACTTTGCAATAATTTAAGTATTTGCAATTATAATATAAATATAAAATATTGATAAAAATACCTTCATTTTTAAAAACCCTAACGCTGAACGTTATGGTAGAGATGGAAGGTTTTCTCAATTCTGCAGTAATCCCATTCAAAACAAGAGATTCCAGGTTAAGAAAAGTACTGCATATGTACAAAACAGCCAGCATGAGAGAGCACTGGAATGCATTTGCCCAGGCAAGTAAATTTGGATGATATGTTTTACACTGGGCTAATATAAGAATATTGAGAAGAACTTTGAAACATGTAAAAAAATGCACTGGGGAAATCTAATCTGATCTGATCATCTAATCTGCTGTATTGGTTCAGTCTTGCTTCCACCTAATACATAATCCAGTAGAATAACTGCCTCTGAGTCCAACCAAATTCATAAGGTTGCATTTATTCTTTACACCCAGTATGGAATCAGAAATACATTCTGTACTGTCTTAAACTATATCTAGGTTCTTCCACCAATTTCTATGTCTGCAGTCTGGGCTGTTGCCCCTCCCTAATATAGTAGGAGGAACTGATTTCTGTACTTTGCCTTTGTAGCCTTTACTCCAATTGGAGAGAAGAAAGTTCAGACAAATTTGACAGTCTTGGGCTTCTGGGCTCAGACTATAAGTTCACATTTGTTATGTTTGTTAATTCTTCCCCCCCCCTTCCTTTTGGTGTACTTGTATTCTGGTGATATGTGATCTTAATGTGAATATGTTTCTCTTTTTACTTATGTTAGGTATCCTTTCATCACCCATTTTGTCCTACAGTACAGTTTTATATTCTGGAAGTAGAATTGCATGTCAGACATTCTAGATCTTGATGACAGTCTAGGATAGTATAGATATGTGCCTGATGAATGCAAGAATAATTGCAATCATATGAACCTTCTTGGGCTCAGATTATTCATTGGGAGCAATATTTGGATTGTGTATGAATGTAATATATGTGCATATGTGAATGGAACACGTTGGTTTGAAGCATTCAACCTCCCAACCAGTACTCAATGTCATCATCTTTTTTTCTGGGGGGGGGAGGGGGGCGTATAAGCTAGCAGCAGTTTCTGTCATAGCAGGACCACAGGGTTGGCCATCTAGCTAAAATACATATTTTTTATGGTTGGGGACATTCTATCACAATGCAAGATCTTTAACAATTTCATCATAATAAAGTATAATTCTGATGTTTCTTCCCTTCCTGTAATGAAACTTAAAATTGTCCATTCAAAATAGAAAACCATTATTTTTCTGGGGAAGGTTTTCAGTGATCTATCTCTCTGCCCCACTTAATAGTTTTCCAATCTAATGAACAAAAAAGGTAATAGTTACTTGCATGTTGTTTTTAGCAAGCAGAGAATATTTATGAAAATCCTAAATGCACTTACAAGATAATTGTCAATTAATTCAAGTAAAACAGAAATTATAATGTTAATCATCCAAAAGGAAAATCAACGATATTTGCTTATTGTGGACAATAAAAGCTAAAACAGTGAGTTGCTGATTATCTTTGATTAGATTACATCAATATATTAAGGCAACAATTTTTTTTCTCAACACATGGACAAAAATATGCCTTCTAAAGAACACAAGTGTTATACAGGCTCGTAATTAATCATATCAATACCAGAAAAAATCTGTTATTATATTGTTTATGTCTGAGGGATTGGTACTAGCAATAACAGAAGAACTTCAGTACAGAGTAAGTTAATGCTATGGTCAGGTTCTTGACATAACCACTTATATGTGACCAATATTATAAAAAGAAGGCTGAAAAGATTACTGTTTTAATTAAGAGATAAGAAAGAGCTAAAACACATCTACTTCCTATTCTCTTAAACTTTAGTGTCTAAAAAAAAAAACAGATCCCCCCCCCCAATGTAGCAGAGGATTCTTCTACTGAAATCTGACAACATTGCAACCCATTTTCTTGGACTGGTCTTCCATCCAACACTTCCTCACTTTAACTATCACAGTCACTATTAAATAAAAGTGATCCTTCTAGTCGAAAATCTGCTACAAACCTTTTCTCTGCCTTTAGTATAATAGCATATATTATAATGGAGATAGGCTGTACTTAAAATCTAGTAGCATTATATTAGAGATTAGGGGTAAGGTTCAGCATTTTCTTAATTCCAATAAAATATACTGGCACAATATCTATGAAAGAAACCATAACTGATGTGATTAAATCACCCATGTCTTCATTGATGTGATTTAAAGCTATTCAGGGAACACAGATCACAGAAAAAGAAACACCAGACGCTGGACGCAACTGACACGATAGGCGGAAAAAAGATCATTGGTGGAAGAAAGCCTGGATGAAGCTGACTACCTTGCGACTGCTGCTGGCCACAAGAGAGTAGGGCTGTAATTGTTATAGAGTAGGACTGTAATTGTAATTGTAACTGTAATTGTTAGATGTTGTACTATGTGAGCCACCCAGAGACCCCAATTAGGGGAGATGGGTGGAGATAAATTCAATGTAATCATCATCATCATCATTTTTATAGGAGCCAGGAAAAAGTCCAAAAGTAGACAAGGAGATATTCCCAATAATGTCAAGAATAAGGAAACACTTGCTCATACACTGTATGCATTATAAGACTAATGAACTTATCAAACATACTGCATTACCCTTTATAAACCTCAATTAGAACTAGCTATATTGTATGTAATAATGGATTCAAATATCTGCTTAAATTAGGTTAAATTTTAAGGGTGGAAAATAGTAGCACTGTGCCCTGTTTCTAGTTCTTTTACCTTATGATTTCACATCTGATCCTTAAATGGCTTCATCTGTCCACCAGATATTTATTAAGTGATTTCAGCCAGTACGTATTATAGAAAAGAATTTTGTTAATTTCTATCATGTGAGATAAAATTTCAGGATCTTAAAGATTATAATAGGGAAAATGAATATTTAACTACATACCTACAGATATGCACAGAGATTTGAAAGGGCAGAAAAACAAACAACAGAAACAGCAAGTTCCTGCTTTCAGCAAAACTAAAAAAAACACACTTAAAACATTTCATGAGTTGTATTCTGCTTGAATAAAACTTGAAATAATTAAGTTTCTACATTAGGAGAAGATACTATACTAAAATGCCATGCTAAAAGCAGGAGTACAAATAATGATAATAAGAAATTAGAAGGAGGAGAATGAAAGTGACATGTTGATGACACAAAAACATTTAGTGCAATCCCAAAAGAAGGGTGGAAAGGGAGACAGATTCCAAAGGAGAAGTATACACTGGAACTGTAGGGATAGTATAAGGAAAGGCAACATTCGGAATGACCCAAGGTTGGCAAAAGATGCTAAGAATGAACGAGGCTTCTTGAGACATGTTCAAAATAAAAGGAAGAGAAAATAATGGAAATGGAAAAGTATTAAGAGGCAGAAAAAAAGACAGGGCTACTTAACTAACTCTTCTCCTACAAGAGCGCCTATGCTCTGCCAAGCAATTTTAAGGAGCAGAATGGAGTTTGAAGCTTAGAATTGAATGAAAGATGGTCAGTGAATGTCTTTGAATGAGTGTATCTGCTGAATTAAATGTGAAGGAACTTGTGAATGACCTGGTCAAAACTCAGTGTATTATCTTTGATAAACCCTGCAGAATGAATAATGTGCCAGATGACTGGAGGAAAGTAAATATTATCCCTATCCACAAAGGAGAGGAATGGAGGCTCAACAGTATTACAGACGAGTCAGGTGTCAATATCTCAGAAGATTCTACAGTAGTTTCTAGAACAATTAATTTGTAAATATCTTTTTAAAAAATTGTAATTGCCATAAATCAGCATGGTTATGTCAGGAACTGGTCTTGTCAGACTAATCATCTCACTTTTTGACTGGGTAACTTGTTAGGAAATTGTGAAAATGTTGTAGGCCCCTTATAATTTCAACAAGTATCTGTTGGGGTGTCAATAAGTGGATTCACAAATTGTGTTGAAAAGAATTCTCATAAACAGTGAGGTCTCAAGTGAGGTGTCACAAGGCCCCGTCCTCTTCAATATTTTTATTAATTACTTGGATGAAGAGGTGGTGAGAATGATTATCAAATCTGCAGATGACGCAAAACTGAGCTAGATAGATGATACCTTAAAAGTCAGAAATAAAATTCAAAATGATGTTGATAGGTAAAAGAAATGGACTGAAAATAATGAAATGAAATTAAAGAGAGACAAAAAGCAAACTTTCCCACTTAGGAAAAAATCAAATGCAAAGGAAGATGACTAACTTAGTTATAGCACTTGTGAAAAAAGAAGATCTTGATTGCCACTGACAATGCCAGAAGTGTACTGTGGCTGCAAAAAATAACTTCAAGATCTGGAATACATCATTGTAGATGCAGGAGACAAAATAATGGATTCAAGATACAGGAAGGCAGATTCTGATTGAAAGTTGGAAAAACTTCCTAATAATAAGAGTACTTTGACAATGGAATAAATTAGACAGAGAAGTGATAGGCTCTTCTCTGCTGGATATGTTTAATAGAGGCTAGACAGCCATCTGTTGGGAATTA